AAAAAAAAAAAAAAAAAAAAAAAAAAAAAAAAAAAAAAAAAAAAAAAAAAAAAAAAAAAAAAAAAAAAAAAAAAAAAAAAAAAAAAAAAAAAAAAAAAAAAAAAAAAAAAAAAAAAAAGAGGAGAGTGGGGAATTTATCCTCTCCCTCACACATTTTTGGTGGTCTTCTCTCTCTCTCTCTCTCTGCAACTCGCATCGGTCTCACGGAGCTGATAATGGTGGCTGCTCGGCTCCACTGTCGTTTCTAGTCAATCGTCTCTTCTCCGATCGGTAATCTCCCGACGATTTCTTCGTCTTTCTGCTATTTTCTACTTCAGATTTCTTCTGTTGCTTTCCCCCGATGTTCCTGGAACTTTTTTGCGCTCTCTGAGATTTGGATTTCTTCTGGTTCCTTCGCTGCGAGATTTTAGGGTTTCGCTTTTGGTAAGAGAGGGATCGATCGCAAATCACTGAAAACTGCGAATCTTTTTTTTTTAAAACCCCGTTCCGTGTTCGAGATTGAGGCGTCGTTTCTTCTATGGTTTTGATATTATTTTTTTTTTGTTTCTCATGTCTTGGTTGTGCTTTTTCTTGTTTGCTTTTTTAGTTCTCCATTTCTCGTTTCCTCGGGAAAGAGAGAGAAAGGGGTTTTGTTGCATGGAAATTGTTTTTACCTTCTCCGTCAGTCGATGATTTATGGCTGGGGACCAGTTGCTTTCATGGTGATTTAAAACCCTATCTTGGGGACCATGATTGGGATCGAAACCTAACTCACTGTCGCATCTTTTTGGTTCAATCTTTGCTGCTGCTGAAAATTGTGTAGTTGTAATGATGGAGTTACTTATACCCTCATTGAGTTGAGCTGGGCGCTGTTTTCTTTGACCTGTGTATTCAATTTTACTTCTTAAATTTTGTAGACCCTAGCAAGTTGCTTCATTTGTTTCTTTGGGCTCTTTTTTCTTGGATCTGAGATGTTTGGCATTAATGGAGTCTTGTGCAAGTACAATATAGAGATGGGTGTGGGTGGAGTTCAGTCTAGCGCCGTGTACATATCGTGTTTCTTTCTTGGCAAGTTGCTGACATTTTGGCAAAGATGATTTGAAGAGTGTTGGCCCAGCTCATTAATGCTAACTTGTATTTTTGTGATGGAGAGAGCTCAAGAGGAGGCAAAAAGAAAAGAATCCTCTTTTTGGTGGCCTTTTTGTTGGTCGGGTTGAAACATAGAAAGTTTTTCTCCCGCTTAAGTTACTAGTTAAAGGGAACGGGCTCGGTCTTTAAGTAACTGATTGGTCGCGAGAGCTGTTAAGAGGAAAGGAAGTGTTTGGTGTTATGACTTGTTAGTCGAAAGGGCGAGGTCTGTAAGGTTCTGTCTTGCATGGTTTTACCGGTGTACGCGTTGTGGGAATTGTTAGGGGAGAAAAGTTGGGAAGTTTAGGTCTGTGGTTTGGCCATGTGACTAATTCGGAATTATTTGGAATGTTTTTGTTTCTTTTGATTTTTACTGTTTGATAGCATCAAGATTATCACTGCTTCCATTACCTGTTTTTTTTGCTTTGTTATGATCTCTGACACTACAGAATTGTGATTCTTGCAGGTTTTGTTGTTTTGGGATTTGGTGGCAGTTCTATGTGACCTTTCTACAGCTTTAATGGACTGCAATCTGAGATCTCCCATGCAGTGGGACTGGGAGAACTTGATGATGTACAACTCGTCTCAGACTGAGAGAGACAAAAAGCAGCTATCGATTGAGTGGGAAGTGGAGAATGGTGAGGGCATCGAATCTGTAGTTCCATGTTTCTCTGGTTTTGAGGGAGTCAGCAGCGGCTCTGGTACCAATTTCTGGCACACTGCTCTGTCGAAAAGCTCGCAATCCACATCTGTTACTTCTTCGTCGCCTGAGGCTAATAAAACATGTAAGCTTGCTTCGGAAAGTATCCCTGAAGATTCTTGCAGCAACATAGAATTTGAGCAGGTGAAGGCATCCCCGGCTGTCGAGGTATCTGTTGGCTCCTCTGCCGAATCCTTTCTTGGTTTAAAACTAGGAAAGAGGACCTACTTTGAAGATTTTTGTGGTGGAAACAATAATAATGACATTTCAGCCATTTCTGTGAAGTTGACACCATCTGTTGCTATGAAGAAATCCAAATCGATCGGTCAGAGCATGCAAGTTCCCCGTTGCCAAGTTGAGGGTTGTGACCTCGATCTCTCTTCTGCTAAGGACTATCATCGTAAGCATAGAGTTTGTGAAAGCCATTCTAAGTGCCCCAGAGTTATCGTGTGTGGCCTGGAACGCCGGTTCTGTCAACAGTGTAGCAGGTAATCTCATATATATATATATATATATATATAGAGTTGGTTTCTTTCTATTTGTCTTCCAATTGATAAGTGATATCTGTCTTGTACTTTGGCAGGTTTCATGCTCTGTCCGAGTTTGATGAGAAGAAGCGAAGCTGTCGTAAAAGGCTTTCTCATCACAATGCACGGCGTCGCAAACCACAAGGAGCGTACCCACTGAATCCAGCAAAGATCTACGGTAAGTGCTAACACCATAACACTATAATGTCCATTATGTTTGTGAGAATCGTGGGCCAGGATTGAACTGAATCATAACAGAAGAGAACAGGTTTTTTTTAGTGGTCTCAGCTAAGAAAAATGACATTCTAAAATCCAACTAAGTGTTCTTTGCTTCACGAGGGGGACCCCCTCCAACTGGTGTCAGTGCTAACTCCCAAACTTCACTTGAATGTTGAAAGTGCTTGCATACCCTCTCTCTCTCTCTCTCTCTCTCTCTCTCTCTCTCACACACACACACACACACACAAGAAGATGAAAGTGGTGATGTTAGTGGTGTGAAACATTTACATTTCCGTGCAGAAAGGACACAGCAACAGACAAATCTGCTGTGGAATGAGCTGAGGCTCAATACAAGGTCGGAGCAAAGGTATGGATGGGGAGCCTCATACGGAAGCAGACCAGAAAGCGGGTTTACACTGAGTTTCGAGAGAGGAGGCCATTGCAATGGCGTGGAGGAGCAGCTCTTCTCCAACAGTAGTAGTAGTAGTAGTCATCATCATCAGCCGATTCATGCTTATTCGGCCTTCCAGAATACCGCTGCTGCCGGCTGTTTCTCGTCAGGGAAATCCACCATCATCGGCTTTCAGCTTCCTGGCAAAGGTCTGCTGCTGCCATTTCAATCCCAAGTCTTTCTCTCTCATGTTTATATTGTGACTTGTGATGATTAAAAACAAGTTTTTGTGTGTGAAGAAGGATACTCGGGAGGAAATGAAGCTCAGGACTTGCACAGTGCTCTCTCTCTTCTGTCAACCAAGACGTCTGAATCACGTGGGACGAAACCACCTCCTCCTCCCCCGAGGCACCGCCATGCCATGGCTCATGCTGCTGCTGATAATGATGATGATGATGATGATCCTCATTGCCACCCCATTTCTGATGCTTTCCCTACTCTCTTCATTTGAGCTTTTCATCTGTGCCTGGAAGTGATCCTTCTATGACACTCGCACTGTACTCTTTTTCATCCTGCATCGATCTTGTTTCCCCTCTTGTCGGGAGCTGAAGATCAAATTGGCTGTTTAAGACTCCCGGTTCTGTTTGTTCCTTGTTTTCCGACATTTCTTTGCTTCTATTCAGTTCTCCCTACTTCTGCGTATAAATCTCTCTCTCTCTCTCTCTCTCTCTCTCGTTTGATTTGCGTCATGGCCGATTACAAAGTGAACAAAAAATAACTGACCGAAGACGTCTCATGGTTTCCGAAAAAGAAAAGGCTGAACGAAAGTCGCAAAATAAAAAAAATAACCTTAAAAATAATAAGAGCAACAACCATAAATTTAGAGATCTCTAGGGTTTTTCAAAAAACTAACATTTTTAATAAAATTACAAAAATACCACAACAACTAGTTTGACCAAAAAATTTGAATATGACCAATTCAAACGGTATGACCAGTCTGACTAAATTTTTATTAGTCTGATGATTTTCACTTGGTATCACAGCAAGACAACGATTATGGACAACGAAAAAATTGATTTTTCGAAAAGATTACCATTAATATTAACAAATGAAGATGAGTGTTATTCCAGATTTCCTTATAAAGAAAATGTGATAACAATACCAAAAAATCTTCATAATCAAAGTCGATATTATATTGGTAACATCTTTGATGATGATACTAATCATAATCTCGGAAATAAAATAAAGAAAATAGGTTTTACCTTAAATAATATTGTTGAAATGATTTCTTATAGAATCATATATCAAAATCCAGAAAATCATGAAGAATTAAAAAAAATATTGAAAATATAAAATCAAATTTAGAAAATCAATTACAAAAATTAATAAGAATATTCGAACAAAACCATGAAAAACAAGATTAAACTAAAAATATAAACAAAAAATTAGAAGAAATAATATATCTACAAAAAAAACATTAAGGAAATGAAACAAAACTCTGAAGAATTAAAAGAAAATATATTAAAACAATAATAAGATGACAGAAACTATGAAGGAAACTATAGAAAAAATAATTAAGGAAACAACTGATCAAATAAAAGAATTACACTATTAAATATAAAAGAAATACCCACAACAACAAATAATTACAGTTATAATAATAGACAAATCCAAATAATAAAAGAACTTAATGATACCAAAGAATTAATACAAAATATTATTGTAAAAAATAAAGGAAAAGAAATAATAAATCCATATGAAGAGGAAAAACAAAAAATATTAGAAATAATAGATCAATTACAAGAAATAACTGGACGACTAAATCAAAACAAATACATCACTATAAAAGATCTGCAAGATCACTTTAAGAAAGAAACGAAAGAATTAATTCTTATTGATCAATCTAATTTACGAATTAAACCACTACCTAAAATATAATGGAATGATTAGATGATCAAATAGAAAAACTATCAACATTATTAGCCGCTCTCAACATACCCGAAGAACATCAATCATATAAAACTGAAAAATTTGTCTTAGACTATAGTAGTGATGAAAATCCCTACGAAAGTCCTTACGACAATCATTTTTTAGTTAAAACTGAACATCTATAGAGGGAAGAAACTAGTAATGAAAATAAATTACCCAAAAAACGAACACATGATGAATATCAAGGATACAAAGATTATGAATATGAATATGAATTATATCAAAATCAATATATTCCAAAAGAAAATAATTGGAGAAAAGTTCCATTTGAGTATATCCCGAAATATGATACGTTTAACGTAAAATCATTAGAAATATTGAATCTAGATTGTGAAATTAATCCGTTAAGAACATTGGAAGATTGGAAAAATCGAACAAGTTTATTAATACAGACTAATAAAGAATTAAGAGAATTACATCATCATGAGATGTTAAATTAACTAGAACATAAAACAAGAAGAATAATATATAATTATTTAACAAATCTATCATCGCGAATAAAAGAAGAAAAAATTCTTAGACCAACTGCATGAGAAACATTTATCAGATTAATCGACGTAATAAGTGAGGAATTTCTAGAAAGAACTTCCGACTCACCATTACGAGAAACACAAATATCTGAAATAGCATTATGAAAAATAGTAAATCTTAGAATTTGCAATATATGCTATCTTGAAGCATTTATTTGTGAATTCAGAGATCATTACTATCGATTAACATCAGATAAGAAAATAATAGCTGAAAAACTATTCTTCGATAAGCTACCATTATCGATATCTGAAGAAATAAAAACTATATTTCAGAACAAAGTAAACGAAAGACAAACCCCCAATACATTGGGAGGAAGAATAACAACATTAAAAGATTGGCATTTATTTCAATGCAATCAAGAAAAACGAAAACAAGAAACAAAGATTGATAAATTATGTTGCAGATCGATATCAGGACAAGTAGGCAAATATGGTTGTGAACCTATTCGCCGAAAAAATAGGAATAAAAAATGGAGAAAAATTCCATACAAAAAATATAAGAAACAAAAATATATACCACAAAAATACTTTAGAAATAGAAAACAATATAAAAAGAAAAATTATGATAAAAAAGATAAATATTGTCCTACAAAAAAGAAAAATTGTAAATGTTGGCTATGCCAAGAAGAATGACATTATGCAAATGAATATCCTAAAAAAAGAAAGAAAAAATAAACAGAAATATTACGAATAGCATACGATATGAGCTTTGAACCAATCGAATCAGATTCAGAGTTCGACTCTGATATTGAAATATATGCATATACTACTGAATCATCTGATTTAGAAAATGAATAGGAAAATACTAAAATCAGGAAACCCTAATGACGATTGGCCTAAAGGCACCTGAAATAGAAAACCAAAAATCAGAACTAGTTACAACAAAATAATAACAAAAAATGAAATAATAAAATCTATCATAGAAGACCTAAAAAATCGATTAACATTTATAAACATGACAGATAAAACAAAAGTTTAATGATATATGTAGCGATAATCCACTAGATATAAAAAATACAAATGAAGAACTAATAATAATAAAACTAAAAAACCCCGAAGATGAAATTAATGTACCAAATAAAATGCAATATATCCACAGAGATGTGAAAGAATTCATCAAAGAATGTAAAGAATTACTAGATAAAGGTATTATACGAGAAAGCACGAGTCCACACTCGGCTCCAGTTTTTTACGTAGAAAATAATAATGAGATAAAACGAGGAAAAAGAAGAATGGTAATAAACTATAAGAAATTAAATGAAGCAACTATTGGAATAGTTATAAATTACCAAGAAAAGATTATATTCTCGAAAGAATAAAAGGAAAAAACTGGTTTAGCAGTTTAGATGCTAAATCATGATACTAGCAACTTCGATTATCTGAAGAAACAAAACCATTAACGGCATTTTCATGCCCTCCACAAAAACATGAATGAAATGTTCTTCCATTTGGATTAAAACAAGCAACAACAATATACCAACAATTCATGGATAGAAATCTCCATGATTAGAAGAATATTGCCTACCATACATTGATGATATAATAATATTTACAAATGGAACACAATCAGAACACACTGAAAAATTAATCATTGTTCTAGAACGATGCAAAGAAAAATGATTAGTTATCTCTAAAACGAAATCAAAATTAGTACAACAAGAAATTGAATATCTTGGATTAAAAATAAATAACAATGGAGAAATTGAACTAACAAGTAATGTACATGAAAAAATACAACAATTTCCCAACGAATTATCAGACAGAAAACAAATTCAAAGGTTCCTTAGATGTTTGAATTATGTTTCTGAACAAGGATTTTTAAAATCCCTAGCAAAAGAACGAAAACAATTACAAAAAAGATATCAGATAAAATACCATGGTCTTGGTCTAACCAGAATACAAACTTGGTAAAACATATAAAAGAAAACATCAAGGTATTACCACGACTATACAATCCAACTATTAAAGATTTCTTGATTATTGAAACAGATGCATCCAAAGAAGTTTGAGCAGGATGCATGCTAGCAATAAAAGATGGAAAAGAATTACTCCATCTTGACCAATACGGTCGTACTAATAATAATGAAGTACCAAAAACTGAGAAACAAAAAACAATATTATACAAATATATCTCAGGAACATTCTCACGAACAGAGATGAATTATCCAATTAACAAGCTCAAAACACTTGCGTGTCTTCGAACCTTGAAAAAATGGAAAATTGATCTACTACAAACTCGGTTCGAATTACGAACTGATTCGCAATATGTAACAGGGTTCTGGAGGTATAAAATACAACTAGAATTCCAAAAAAGACGATTAATCAGATGACAACTAGAATTGCATCAATATGAACCATATATTAAATATATTAAGTCAGCAAACAATTATTTTGCAGACACTCTAACAAGAGAATGTAATGAATAATCAAAGCAATTCAGAATCAAATCAGTCAAAAAGACAACAAAATCAAGACTATTCAGGAAAATCTCTCAAAACTCTTTGAGGAGAGGGATGAGTTGATTAAATCCTTGAACATCATCATAAAGGCAATTGGTGGAACACCAGTAGAAGAAGACCAAAAGCAAGAACAGACAACAAAAGTATTAGATCAGGTTACACTTCCTACCGACATCAAGGTAGAAGAAAAACCAAATAAATGGTACACTATCTTTAGTGGACCATTCAGAGGAGATTTGCCTTCAAGAGACGATGCATCAGAATATGCCTTCAAGAGACGATGCATCAGAATATCAGATTCCGGATGATCTGGAAGCTCAATCACTATTGGAAGTATTCAAGGCATCAAGAAGAATCCTTGCAGATTCAGAAATCAAAGTCAATTATGCCAGCAGTAATGTATTAGTCATCACCTACAACAATTCGACTATTTCAAAGGAAGAAATGCAAGCAGTAGCAGATTTCGAATTAGACTTCTATCAGAAGAGTCGGCAGACGCATGATTAAAGGCGATAAAGACTAGTGACCATGTAAAATAATATTGTCGGCAATAAGCCCCAATAAAAGATAAGGTTATCAAAAACCTTATCACTGTAATCTATCGTGTATAATTATGTAATGACGCGTGTAAGAGTCGGGCCCCAGCATAAGATTTCATTCTTAGCTGATAAGGGTTCCAAGGTTGTATAAATATGTGATCTCTCCATTCGGAGAAATCATAATGAAATAAACGAATCTGTTTCAGAACTCTCTCTGAAAAATCTCTTTAAGAGATTGGCTTGAAGATTTCGATCTTCTGGAGGCCTTTTTTATCAGAATATTTCAAACCATTATATTATTCCAGAACTCTGGAAAAAACCGATCAGATCTCCGGATCACCAACAAGAAAACGATCATCACCAACACCTACCAACAGGGATTATTATCTACACAAACGAATCAGGTATGGCATCAACCTCTTTATTTGATAATTTTATACAATCAGATGAAGATTATTTCTTTGATGGAATAATAGATATAAACAAGATAAGAAAGATCAACTTTGATCTTCAGAAAGATGAAAACTTTGAACAAACTATGCTAGAAAGAATAAAGAAGCAACTATCACGAAAAAACATAATAAAGTTTGGAATTATGGTAGGAGAAACACCGGTACCAATCGAACAAACTACAGGAGAATTAATCTTATCGATTATTAACAAAGAACAAATTATGGAACGGTTGAAAAACTGCCCAGAAAAACAAAGAAACCAAATAGCCTACATACACTGTAGTACTATTCAAATAATTATCAAATCAACATTTAAAGAAGGAATCGATTCACCAATTACCTTCCAGATCAGAGATGATAGATTAACAAACTATACTGAAAGTATCATAGCAGAAGGAAAAAGAAATCTTTCTTCTGGAAAGATTAAATTCAATATCAACATCCAATTGGGATTATCATTAAAAGATAAAAATTCTAGATAACTCTATAGTTATTCAATACAAACTAGATCGAACAGACTTTATGGAAAAATGGAATCATCCTTTCTCTATAACATATCAGATCAACTATGCATTAACAAATAGTCATCATAGTCTGAATTTCAGAAACAAAGATATAATCGAAATAGATGATTTATTTAAACCAGTAATATGTTTAAAAAGACCATTAACACCAACAAAACCAAAAGATAAATCAATATTACGACCGAATCCAAGACTAAAAATACAAGAACCACCATCCTTATTATTTAATACGGAACAAACAGAAAAAAATACTGAAAAAGATTATTCTCTAACTAAGAAAAACAATAACACAAATCAACAAGCTCACTAGATGAATTTTAACGAAGATTTTATCAAAAAATTATCTCTATTAAATCTTGAAAGTTTACCATGTCAAGATCATCTTGAACAAATATTAGTTGAAACCATAGAAAATATATTTGAAGAACGAACTTATGGAACAATCGAACGAAATGAACTTAATGAAAAAAATAGAAGAATAAAAATGATTAATTCAATATTTAACGCAGTAAGAGAAGTTAAAAGAGATATTATCGAAAACTAAAACGATTAAAATGGAAAAAATATATAAGAAAAATATTGAATTATTAGATGTATCAGTACAGTATTTCGAAACAATGGGTAGTGTAAGAAGAATGCAGCATATAATAGAAAAAGAACAGATTAATAATACAATTATAGAACTAAATAAATTAATCACGATAAAAGAAATAAAAATCGAGTATTTTAGAAAACATTCATCAAAAGATAATTATAATGGACATTGGCTCCAATTTTTGGAAGAAACATTAAAGCGAATTGAAATACTAAGTTTTTTCGAAAACGAATTAAAATCTCCTGAATAAAATAATAGTGTTGAAGTAAAAATGACATTTAAAGTCATTTTTGTAAATGCCCCCGCGAGGCAAGCTCCAACGTCACGCTATATATATGGCGTTGTGCATGTAATGACGTTCTTTTGCTGAACCACAAACACAAAATCCAGGTTACTTCACAACATAGCAGTTTTCAAGACATTTTAAACAAATAAAAAACTTACTGTTTAAATCTCCTTTAAAATATAAATTAATTTACTAGTATTCTCCGCCATATATATCTATATATGTGTGTGTATATATATATATATAGAGAGAGAGAGAGACAAACATAAGCACTGTCCTATTTCAATCCGAACTAATGTGGACCCTAAACCAAACAGATAAAAAAAGAGAGCCGAGATTCCTATACAAAAGTGAGAAATTTTGATACCCAAACCCCCAAAATCTAGGATTCACTTCAATGCAACTTTTGTCAACTCCAACAGAATCAAGCTTTGCCCCATTGATGCAAAATCATCGACAAGACACGAATCTCCACATCACCCAACAGACTCTTTTGACGCAAAAAAAAAAAAAGAAAGGAAAAAGCCTAAGTAATAATCATATCATTGATCAGAAGATGATGACTATTATCCTACAATACACTTGGAGAAACTCACACATGCAAACAAATCAAATCTTCAAAACTATTGACACAAATCTCTGGAGAGAATAACTCAAAACACAAACCCCCTCTACTTGTAAATCTTTTCTCAACCATGCAAATGCGGCTGGCTGAAATCTACACGAAGACAAATAATAACATTACCTGAAAGCATCTAACAAGAAGGATCGACAAATACATAGAGTAATATTTGGCGTCAATAACAACAGCCTGGACTTATATGGTGAAGTTGAGAGAGTGAAGTGAAGGCAGCACACAGACTGAACTTGACAACCGCCGCGACATTGGACAATTGACTGACATTAGGACACCCCCCCATACCGAGCAATGCTGGACCTTCTCAACCCTCACGACAATGTCTACGACTCACTGGATCATTATGCACATTGCAAAAAGACAATAAAAAAAACGTTCAGAGAAATTTGACCTCCTTCCAAGCCTAGTCACTATGTTAAAAGTTAAGATTATCTCTTTTTTTTTTTATATAAAAAAAACTTAGTATTGAAGGGAGGACGGAAGTGCAAGGAAATCTTTGCTTCAATTTTCTCATTAACATGTCTCTGCCGCTCCCGAAAAGCATAAAATGTGCAAAATTTACATGCGGGACTTTTGGATGCAACCATTTTGTGAAACAGATGCGAACATGTAAATGCATTATTCGACCAACCTGATTGTTCTCTTCTGGTGCAGGGGAAGGAGATTTGTCATCATCCACTACTGGTTTATCGGCTCCACAGTTCTGCCTGTTGCACATTGTCCTGAACGGATAGTTTAAATTTCCACATTTATCGCACTTCCAGCTACCTTCAGGCACCTTTTGTTCTGAATTCATTAGACATGTCAGTATCAAGGTCTAACAAGTAAGTGCATTTGCAAATATTCGAGGGACTTACTGAAAATTTTGTCTGTGATCTCAGCCTGCATTTGTAAGACGATGTTGTCAGTATTTGAGAATTTGGATGTAAACCCGAACTTTAACCAAATGGGTCTTACACATTACTCATAGCTGTAATTGGATAGCCAACAGCAAGTAGATTTCGAATTATTGTATCTATTTTGTTAGTGATATGGTTGTACAATTGAGCTCTGAAAAGAAAATTGTCGTTCGAAACTGAAAAAATGAGAAACGGCACAAGCACAAACCTGAGATTCAGGCTTTGGAGTGCTGCACTTCCTCATGTTACATACAGTTCTGAATGAGAAGTTCACATTACCACAATTCGGACATGTCCAGTCATTCTCGCGAGTTGGATCTGTAGTGAATTTCACAGAATGTGTCAAGTTGACCAGTGTTATAAAATTAAAAGGCAGCTCAATATTGTAGCTGAAGTGCTCTTGAAAGGGGAAAGATAACTAGTGCACACTGCACACCTCTTTTCTGAGTTTTCTCATCTGGATAGAACCCTGGTCTTGGCATCTACCAAAAAGAGAAACAGATATCACACAAATTCCTATGTCAGAGAAATCAGCCCTCCACCAGATGAAAATAAAATTTATTCGATCTTGCAAGTTATATCACACAAATTGCATGTAACTATACATACCATAACAGCTGCAGGACCCATGGCCATACCAAGGCCATACCTATCCATTAGTGGAGGCATGCCATACATGCCTGGAAGCAAAAACCAAAGAAACACCAGTAGAACAATCAGTTCACATACACATCAACTGATGATATACGGAAAACGTGAGCCATCAGATTTTCTGTTAAACTACAGAGATTGATACTAGCATGAAAATACCATTTCCCATCATAGATCCACCAGAGTATGGCGGTGGTCCAGACATATGAAGTGGTCTATAAGGAGCTCCAGCAGGGATTCGGCTGCTATAATTGAAATGATAAGGTGAACCCCCAGAGAAAGGACCATCATAAGGGGGAATAGAAGACCCATTGAAGAGGGAAGATCCATATAGCGAGGCACCCATGTACATAGAAGGGGGTCCCCCTGAACCTGCATATGGTCCTGTTGATGAATAGTTTTGTGGAGGTTGAATAGGCTTCGGAACAGACTTCTGTTACAAAATACAGCATACGATCAACATGCAGGAAAATCAAATCAACAAGAAAAAACATCAAGCAGATACATTAAATAGGACCATAAAACACTGCAAGCGTCCTGCATATCCAATACTCTAGAATGTGGTCTAAGCATAAAGATTGTGATTATATTATGTCACATGAAAGACAAACCCTACATTTTCCAAGTATAGTTTTGCAATTCAGGGACTTACTCCATTATGATACGCGGGCCTGGGCTGGGTACAATTACGTTTATTGCAAGTTGTCCTAAACGAAAAGTTGGCATTGCCACAACTGGGGCAGGTCCAATCATCTTCTCTGCGACCACCTATCCTCAACCAAATAGTAAATCAAACAAGTTCTAATTTCTGTAGGAAGAGAAACCAGCACTATTAAAACTTCAAAAAACCTTGTCAACAAGTGAGAACAAATTATCACAGACTATTTTTTCGTGGAATGAAAGGAAACCCAATTTTACTCTAAAATAGATACAAACGAAAGAAAGGAAGAAGTGCACACATGCTCAAGGGGAAAAGCTCCCGGATAAACATGTAATTTCAAGGTTGATGCTTAGCATAGTCGACTATAGCCGGAATATATTGACATACTAAAGGGATTTAAAGGAAGGCTACATAGTGCATAGAGTACACAGTGTTTTTTTTTATCTAGTCTAAACTTCCTAAACACAACCCAAGTATCAAAAGACCGCGGAAGAGGACAAGGGAAACAAAGTCAATGTAATTCATAAACTCGTCATCCAGGAGTATTTTGCCAAAATAAAAGTAAAACTACAAGTTCCTTTTCAATTAAGAGTTAGGGAAGATAGTCACATACAACAACCACAAGCCGCAGCCGGCACATGAAAATTGAACTTTAGGCAATATGCTCTTCAGGGCACGAATCGGCAAAAATAACATTATAACAAGACTAAAGCATACCGTCAGTTCTAGCACGCTTGGTGGCTGATGAATTTCTGTTGTCAACCTATAAATTCAGAGAAATAATGAGATAAAACCAGACCAAAAGGTATAAAAAACACTGAAGCGAGAAATCAATTCAGACAAAAGAACAACGATCGCGGACTCGATAATAAATCCTCAGGCATTGTGGCGATACTGACTCGAAACTCGAAAATGATAAGAGCCCGATTTCCCCAAAGCTCAATGCGATACAAGAAGTTTCGAATCCAGTTAAGGTTACATCTGCGGTGCAGAACGCTGGAAATAGGAGTCGGAACGAATCAAGAGGGCTACACACCTGAGACATGGCGGCGGAGTGGTACGATAATAGCTGCTGCGCGACGGAGGACCTGCGGCGGCGAGACGTCCCTCGGCGATTTGGGAGCGACTTGCCCTAAGCTTCAACCGCGACGGGGGAAATGGGGGAGTGATTTTCGACGCAAAGGGGAAATTTTTTTAGCGGGATTAAAAAAAAGTTATATACATGTATATATAATATATTCCAAGCAACAATAAATGAAGATCGAGGACCATCGAAATAATCTTGGAACATAAGCCCATTTAATTTCGGGCCCATAACTGATTTCCATCACATTAAAACAAAAAAATCATATATATTTTTAGTTAACACTCTTTTTTTATCTAATAATAATAATAATAATAATAATAATAATAATAGTGGTTGTTGCTCGTTATTGCAGATAGCTAAAAATACAAGCCTTAGTTTCATTTAATGACACAACCAGAGTTTAAATTAGGGATAAAATAGGTAGAGAAATTATTAAGAGGTATAAATGTAATATGTTGTAGTGGTTCAGGCCGGCCGGTTCCTCACCGTAATCTCTCCGATCAAACGCTCGTGTGCAAGAACGGAGAACCAAACGAAAGAGATATGAGATACGAGTTTAGTACCGAGCTCTAACGCTCGGTACCTATGTCTCGGGAAGAGGAAGTGTTCGATCTAGGGTTACAGCCACAGACTCACGCCGGAAACCGTCGAACGGCGGCCCCGAACGCCGGAGAAGCGAGAGTCGCTTCACCGCAAGAGAGAGAAACCGAGAGAACGAAAAATACAAGTCTAAGATCGAAGTCTCACCCTAGGTCTGGAAAAGACCTTACAAAATGACATATTTACCCCCTCGAAACTTCTCTTTCGCCCAGAGTCTTTCGAAGACTGTACTCCATTTGGAGTATTTGCTGAAGATATCCCATAAATCTCCACCTTCTTCTGCAAAGACCTGCAAATCATACAAAAGAGAAATACGAAGAAAACTACGCCAAACCTGAACCCTAACACTTCCCTTTATTTCCATTCAACTCTCCCTCCCGGCATGATCCAAGGCGTATTGGAACACCGTTATTAGGAGAGTTCTTACCGAGCGTACCATAAGTACGTCTTAGCGTGAATAATCAATATAAACACGCAAATCCTAGTCTACCCAAAAAACGAGTGTCCGAGTATCCCTCAACACATCCCGTTTCCGAAGACTAACGATAACCTCAAATAGTTATGACTCCCTAGACCGTCTATATAACTTTCTCCGATGAAGTCTAAAACTTCACATGTGCACCCTCGAGAGTTAACCCCGACATCTACCTGTCTCCCGAGTCTAACCCGACTACCCCGAGACTAACCTGAGTCATACTATCGAACCCGCTAGACAACCTAGCCCTGGATCCCCGTAGAATCTACACCACCTATGAATTAGTGACTTCTACCCACGGACCCTAACCTGCCAACTAAGATTGTCCCACGGTTTTATCCCGTGAAGACGCTCCTAGTCATCTACGATGCTCCACCGAGAATGAGACACGTGAGTGCACGTGTCCACCTCGAGAGGGAGTGTCCTAGCGCTCCAACCTACATCGACTCTACCCGGTGAAATCCCGACACCTCCCAACTCACATCATCTCCCGAGCATCCTACCCGAGGAAATTCTACCTAAATTGTGGAAACCTCACCTCCTGACCTACCACCGAGAACCGAAGCAACTTCGGTTACTCCTCCGAAGTCATATGTCCTTCTACCTCGGACTCTCCCTTCCTCGTCATCCGGGATCTACATATCCTCCATGTAGTATCCCTACCTACCCGCGGAACAACTCACTCCACCTGGTCCTTGGCCTACTCCTGCAACCCGATTTCTCGGGTTTTGTCCGAGACCCCTAGTCCTTCCACCATACCCCTTTCGGGGTATACCGAGCTAGACAATCTAATTCCATCATCCTAAGATGATATAACAAGAGTCTAAAACCAACCCTACCCGGAAGTGACTTAACTGACCCTAGGAGTGACTAAACCATGACCTAAGGGAAGAGACCGAATCCTAGAGGACTTAACCCTAGGTATATTTCTACCTAGACAGACCTAATGATCTCTAAAATCAGCCTATAAGACTTACCCTAGGTATATTTCTACCTAGCCGTGCTTGACACACTCTAACCCTAGTCTAACGGTCCTAAACCTAGGTACGTCTCTACCTAATCAGACCTACAAGACCTAGAGAACACGACTTGACCGGACTTAACCTAGGTACTCAACCTAAACCTATCTAGCGGACTTTTGAACCATGCCTAATCGGACATCTCCCTAGGTACATCTTACCTAACCGGATCTAATAGACTTTAGACCAGACCTGATTGGACTTAACACAAGGTATATTTCTACCTAACCGACCTCTTAGACTCTCGCACAAACCTGATTGGACTTACCCTAGGCATAATTTTACCTAACCGACCTATTAGACTCGAAACACAACCTACCTTAAGACCTGATTAAGTCTAACCAGACCTAACTTAAGGCTAACTAGACCTGATTACGTCTAATCAGACCTATAACACCGAGTCTACATGGCCCCCAACAAAGTCCTAACCAGTCCTACGATCCCGAGTCTACCCGGCCCCTCACAAAGTCCTAATCAGACCTACCCAAGTGCTATCTAGACACTAACAGCCCTAGTTAGACAACCAAAAGCCCAAACTAGACCAGAAAACCTAATAGGACCTAAGCCAACCCTAATTGACCTAACCAACCCCTGATTAGTTAACCTAAGTCCTAGTCAATCACCTAAAAGTCCTAATCAACAATCCTAAGCCAACCCTATTGACTTACCAACCCATGATTAGACTTTTAGCACCCTAATCAGACCTGAACTAAGTCTAATTGACCTAATTCTCATCTGATCAAACCCTATAAACGCCTAGAACCAACCCCTACAAACCTGCCCTGATCTAAACCGACCCCTACAGACCTATACCTAGTGATTCTAGACTTAACCAACCCCTAAACCAACCCATTTTAGTCAAATCTCAACTAATCAGACCTAACCAGTCAATGTACCGGACTCTATGACTCAAAACATGTACTTAGGAGTCCTATCTAGTCCTAAACTAGATAATACCTAAATGTATAATCAGATTCTAATCTGATCAGACCTAGACAATGTCTCTATAAACATTCTAAACCTCTAATCAGAACTAACCAAGTCTATTTTGACCTAATTACCTACTGATCAGACTTAAACCATGCTAGACCAACCCAAATTTGGCTTAACCCAGACCTAACCAAGACCTAAACAGCACTTACAGACCTATACCGACTTAAATCAGTCTACTACAGACCTGTACCCGCCTATTTAAGTCTAACCCGATCTCTTACCTAGCTAATCTTAGTCAAATCCAACCTATTCAGACATATACTGAACAGAAAACTGGAATCTATGACCTACATTAGCTAAACCGAGATCTAAAACAGGTCCATTTCTAGTGAATTACACTAAACCAAGCCAAATTGGATACTAAACTGACCTAACAAGGGTAAACCGATCACTACAGACCCTAACATACCCTAAACCAGTCCACTATGCCCTAAACCAGACATCATCAGACCTAATTTGGACTAATCTAACCCTAAACCAGTTAGTTATAGTCCTAATTGTACACTTCAGACCCTAAAAAACGATCTAATCTAGTCCTAACCACGAATTCAGACCCTAACATGATCAATACAAGTCCTAAACAGATAAACCAGACCTAAATCAGACCTATTTCAGCCTAATCCGATCTAGATTTACCTAAACCGAACCCAATTGACCTAAACCTGGACAATTCTAGCCCTAACCGGACAAATCAGACCTAAATCAGACATATACCAAGTCTAAACGGGCCTACATTGACCTCTACCGGACTTAATTGACCTAAACCAGTCTGAATTAGACAGAACCGAAAAATCAGACCCTAATTAGACCTAAACCAGCCTAACCTAGTCTGAATTAACCTAAACCGGACCTAGATTGACCTAAATCGGACTCAATTGACCTAAACCGGACCTGGAATGACCTAAACCGGACTCAATCGACCTAAACCGGGTCTGGAATGACCTAAACCGGACTCAATCGATCTAAACCGGATCTGGACTGACCCGAACCGGACTGAACCGGTCCAATTGACCCCAAACCGGACCTGAACTGGTCTGATTGACCTGAACTGGTCCGGTTTGACCTTATGTGTCAACTGTTGACCAATTTCGGTCAACGATTTGACCAAAACCGACCTAAACTAGTTCGATTTTAAATCGAACCGGGTTTAATTACTCAATCGGATTTAAACCGGATAAACCGGTTTAAACCGAAAACCCTAATTTTCGGAAACGTGAGCCGCCGAGTTCACTCGGTCAACTCGGTCGTTGACTCAGCCCGATTTCCCGACTCAGTCGCGACTCGACGAGTCGCGTTCGATTTTCGCCGGAAAATCCTGGTTTTCCACCGGTTTTCCCCTCCCAACCCTAGATCTACACACGTAGACTCGAAATCTTACCTGAGTCAGCTTGTAACTCGCCTGAATCTTCGATCTGAGTTAGATCCGAGCCCCTTCCAACTTATCACCGCCGATCTGAACCGTTCCCGTCGTCTTTGACCACCGATCTTCTCTCAGACAGTCTCCTCGACATTGTTTCTTGCCTGAAACAACTTGAACCAAGCATCAGAACGTTCAGATCTAGACCAAGGGAACCCTGACTTACCTCGACCGCGTGTCGCCGCCGATCTGTCGTCTGCCGCCCCGAACCAGGCTCTGATACCACTTGTAGTGGTTCAGGCCGGCCAGTTCCTCACTGTAATCTCTCCGATCAAACGCTCGTGTGCAAGAACGGAGAACCAAACGAAAGAGACAGGAGATACGAGTTCAGTACCGAGCTCTAACACTCGGTACCTACGCCTCGGGAAGAGGAAGTGTTCGATCTAGGGTTACAGCTACAGACTCACGCCGGAAACCGCCGAACGGCGGCCCCGAACGCCGGAGAAGCGAGAGTCGCTTCGCCGCAAGAGAGAGAAACCGAGAGAACGAAAAATACAAGTCTAAGATCGAAGTCTCACCCTAGGTCTGGAAAAGACCTTACAAAATGACATATTTACCCCCTCGGAACTTCTCTTGCGCCCAGAGTCTTTCGAAGACTCTACTCCATTTGGAGCATTTGCTGAAGATATCCCACATATGTGTATCTCAACAAATAGATAAGATATCTTAATATTTTTGTATTCCACAACTTCGATTTTAGAAAAATTATAACAGTTCGATTTTTAATTTTAATTCAGTATGATTTGATTTTTTTCGATTTTCATTCGTAAAAATATTCATTTAAAATATCAGTTTTTGGTCTTTGTTTTACTCTTTTTGGTTAAAATTTTTAAAAATCATAATTTTTCCATTTTTTTTTATCATATTCACTTTGATAATAGTTATGCCGATTCATATCAATTTGATTATTCCATCATTAAGCAAATCGATCACCAGCCAACTTTGAAGCATAATATTTAATAGTCTGTCAAAGTCCAACCAACTTGGGTGACCTATTGTAATAAAACATTCTTTTATCTCGCATTTAAATTCAAACATAGGGAGGTGCATTCAACCAAACTTTTCTGATCTCCTGGAGATGTAGTTGGACAAAAATTCTAATTAATTTCTAGATTATAAAAAAAAATTGTGTATGTCATCGCTTGTGTCATTCTCCGACGAGATCTATGAGACAGAATGAGATCTTATAATGATCGACGCACCGAAGGAATATTTGTAGGAGGTTCCGGAAAGGACGTCGGCGATATTCTCGATATTTATGGTGGCTAAGAACCATCGGGGACAGGGACGACCCATGTCTTCCTCCCCGTCATCGATCAGAAAGTTGAAAAGACATTCATTGAGGAATTTCTTTGCCAAAAATATAGGGTTAACTCCGTCGGGAGGCTATGGCATTTCGAGATACCGAACATTGGTAGCGTGAGCCCGGTTCTGCTAAAATTTGCCCAATTAGGGTTTAGTTTTTTACCGTTAATTTTATGATATAATTAGAGAAGGGTTCACGTTAAATGGATGGATCATATATTCTATTAAAATAAAATAAAAATATTTTTTATTATAAATTTTATAAAATTATGAGCAAAATTATCAAATACTCCCACAAAAATAAATTTTTACTCTATGAAATTATTGTACCTTCTTGTAATTTTTTTTTGTAGATCCGCTATAGACAATAATTTTATTATATGGATATAGAGATCGCATTTTAACCGAAACAAAGAACAAAAGCATATATTTATTCGTTATTCGGTATGAAAAAACAAAATGTTACAAGTTACTATAAAACATCACACACATGTTTATGATTGGCATCTAACAAAAGCGCTATTCAAAACTAATGTATATAGTAGTAAACCGGGTTTATTACATGGCGGCGGTCTGGAATCAAACGGTGGCGAGTTGGAAACGGCCAAACGGAAAAGAAGACGGCGTCGAAGCGACGTCAAAAGTCGTCATGGTTCCGTCAATTCCGATGTGGGTCACGTGCTTAACGTCCGTCGGGAATCCAATCTCCATCTCGGCCTCCGTTTCCTCCGTCGAATCTCCGTAACCTGTGTCCACAACGCATTTCAAAATCCAAAAAAAAAAATCATATTTTTTTGTAAAAAAAAAAAGATTATTTTATTACATTAATGTTGTCCTACCAATAACAACTGAGGATTTAAATTTTAAAAAAATAAAATAAAATAAACACTTACGAATGAAGAAGCTGTGAGAGAAAGTCTTGAAGCTTCTAATGAATCTGAAGATCCCAACTGAGATATCATTATTATTATTATTATTATTATTATTACCAATGTGCTTTGGAGAGACAGCTTCAGATTCATTGCCACGAGGGTCATCCATTTTAGTTTCGTCTTCTTCTTCTTCTTCTTCATGTTTCGAGCTTTCTCCTTCTTCCTCTTCCTCTTCTTCTGTTCCTTTGAAAATAAAACCCAAAAGAAAGAAATAGATATAATCATATAAAGGTGCAGCCTTTATGAACTCAAGAAGATAAACACGATAGAGAGAGAGAGAGAGGAGAGAGGAGAGGGAGGTTGAAGAAGAGGGTACGTATACTTTTGATGGGTGGATTAGGTTTCTTGCTGTGGTGGTGAGTGTTGGCGACGTCGACGCTGGATTGCGATGAACAACCCAATGAGAAGGGAAGAATCACGAATCGCTCCATTCGATCTTTCATCTTCGAGATTTTTCGAACTCGATGATACAAAACCAAATTAATCTTTAGTATATATTCAGACTGAAATGCACATGTGTCTGTATATATATATATATGTGTGTGTAGTGATAAGAAATGGAAGTGAAGATAAAAGGGGAATGATCACTGAGATTTATATTTGTGGCGGTGTTTTTGGCTTTGTAAGGAAGCTATAATCATTCCCTTTTGGAATTTGTAATTCCCCCACCCAACAAAGGAACAGTGATTGTGTGGGAGAGAGAGAGAGAGAGAGAGAGAGAGAGAGAGAGAGAGAGAGAGAGAGAGAGAGAGAGAGAGAGAGAGAGAGAGAGAGAGGGAGAGAGAGAGTAGAAAGTGTCATTATAGAGTAGTTTTGAGGGTGATTAGTTGGGCCAAACAGTGCCACTTAACCTAATTTTCCGTCACCAAATCTCCAAATTAAGGATTAAGTTATTAAAACGACCATTTCCCTCCTCCTTCTCCATCCTTAAAATAACCTCGGATACAACAAAAGTTAAAATCAATCACCAATGGTAGCAATTATTCCATCCGTTTTAACTTTAGATGAAGTTTTAGAGTAAAATTTTTGTTGAGAAACAAATGATATTTTTCATATATTCAATGTACTTTTTAACGACAAAGGGTATTTTAGACAAAAGATTTTTTTTCCTTAATATATGTGTTTAAAGCTAATCTCAAAGGGCCTATCACCAAAGCCATGCAATTAACGATAATAATGAACGCAATGTGGTGACAACTCTCGTATCAAAGAGAGAGCTCACGTAAATTTCTCTTGTGAACGAAGCCATGACTTCGTGGGCACTTACTTAAAACGAACTCAAAACACTGCGAGATTTTGACATTGGCTAGCTAATGGATGGACCATGCAATTAGTTAACAAGGATCAATCCCCATGTAATATATATATATATATATCAAATATTTACATCAACTCTACTCTACAAATGCACAGTCGTATGAGTGAGCAGTTGATGAAACATGAAGCAACCGTTAATGACGAGTTTAGTAAAAAGAACGTACATTACAATTCAAGAAGCGTTTCGTTCTCTCCGCCTCTCATCTCGTTGCATTGTGCACACCTTGATATAAGAGCAAGCAAGAGATATTTGCCCACAATTGTCTATCATGCCATGCCATCGGTAGGGCTGTCAAACGAGCCGACTCGGTGGCAGTCTCGTATTCAAACGAGTCAGAAAAATCTCAACTCGATTCGACCGATCAATTTTCCAAACTAAACGGAACGGCAAGCGAGATTGGGACAAACATAATATTTTTTTAAATTTATTATATTATGAAAGTACCAAATAAAATGATATTTTAACCTGCAGTTCAAATGTTAAAATATCAAATTTATGTATATAAAATAAATTATACATATATAGTCAAGAAAAAATTAAATTAAATATTTTTTAGATAAAATATATAAAAATAGAAATAAAAAGGGAAAATCGCATATAAATACCCAAACTTTTGCAAAAATCCCACATAAATACCTAAACTATAAAACTTTCAAATAAATACCAGAATTTTTCAAAAATCCCACATAAATATCTGAATTTTTTAATTTTTTTCCAAATAAACCAAGATTCGTTGACGGCGTTAAATTAGATAACAGAATCTGATAAAAAGCGATGAGTTGGCAATGGAAAATCCAGATCAGCATCCAATCATCAAACCAATTTAAATAATTAAAATTTTAATTGAACCAAACCGGTTTAAAGTCAATAAACCGATCAAAAGTCAAAACCAAAAAAATCCCCAAATTGAAAAAACTCATGAAATCAATCTCAAATCACGTTCTCTCCATCTGTCTCTCACTGTTCCTTTTCATTGATATCGTTCGTCGTCTTCGGCTCTAACGGTTGTCGTCGTCATCTCACTCAATCGCAAATCTCTTTTTCCTCAGTTGCGAATCTCTTCTCCTTCGTCTCCATCATAATTCAAAGCATCCGAAGATTCTTTTCCAGGAGGCAACTATCACGAATCTCCATGCGAATCAGATTCCTTAAATTTGCGATCTTTTTTTTTATCTATGTTACTCTAGGTTTGGATGGGTTGGTTCGATGTAAGAAATAATGCCTAACTCATCATGTTGATGATGTCTATGACTGTATTTTTTTTTCTGATTTCATATTATCATCTCCCATGGAAACTTCCATGGGAGAAGTGTTATATGAAGAATTGATATTTGAGAATATCTGCGTTTATTGTTGTTAATGACTTTTTCTGATTTGGTTTTGCAATCTTTCTATTTAGTTGTTATCAGCGACGGAGATGACAGTCAATCCACCAACAACGACGAACGATATCGACAGAGATGACAACCAATCCACCGAGGAAGAAGCGATTCGCGACCGAGGGAGACGAAGCAGATGTCGATGATAGTCAGGGCCGACAACAACGAACGATATCGGCGAAGAGGACCCATGAGAGAGAGAATGTATTTTTTTATATCAGTTTCGTATGAGTTTTTCAATTTGGGGATTTTTGTTGGTTTATGATTTTTGATCGGTTTATTGATTTTAAACCGGTTTGGTTCAATTAAAATTTTAATTATTTAAATTGGTTTGATGATTGGATGTTGATCTGGATTTTCCATTGCCAACTCATCGCTTTTTATCAGATTCTGTGAACGAATCTTGGTTTATTTGGAAAAAAATTAAAAATTTCAGGTATTTATGTGGAATTTTTAAAAAGTTCAGGTATTTATTTGAAAGTTTTATAGTTTAGATATTTATGTGAAATTTTTGCAAAAATTTGGGCATTTATATACGATTTTTCCAAATAAAAATAATATATATATATCTTGTTTACTCATATTATATAGATGTATTGATCTAAATACATTTAAAATTTGAATACAAAATACAAAAAATTATATAATACAGAATTTTTTTTTATAAAAATCCGCAAGGGCAAATTTCAAATTCTAGATTTTAGATCGGACCAGATCGGCCCATAAGCTTTCTGGTTCGTCTGGGGCTTGGGTCGGAGCAGCATTTTTGAGAAACCTTAAAATTTTCAACACGTGTCCTCTTGATAACACGTCAGCCAAAGCTTCTATCATTTCTTCCATCCAATTTTCGAACCCATTTCAGGCAGAGAGAGTTTCTCATTTCCGTCGGAACACAAACCGAATCACTCTCACGACACAGATCACGAACAATACGTAACGAGACTCGTATCTGAAACCGCCTTACGGACAGCAGCTTCATGAGGCGGTCCTTGATCGGCTTCACCGTTACGGCGGCAACTAAGCAAGCAGACTCTTTCTGTCGGAGAGGAGATTCCGACCCGACCCAGCCATAAAACCGCCGAAACCTAGATTCTTCGTCGCCGGAAAACAACCATGCACGGAATCGGTACCGGAGAAAGAGGAGTTCAGAAAGAAGCATCTCCCGGAGCTCGAGATTCTCCGAGATTCCGTCAGGATAAAGGAACGCGATACCGTTTTGCAAGCCATTCTTCGAAGTTCCCTGTTCGTTTTGGAGATGGGTCGTGACCTAAAACGCCGCGGCGGTAACAAAACCCCCCACCCCCACCCAGAAAATCTCCAGAATCGTTTCTGAATTTTCTCGGTAATATGTACGGATCGGAGAAAGTCTCGGATGACGCGGACCGTACGGCTTTCCGGCGATCGGAGAAGAAGTACAAGCTGTACTGCGATCAGAGTTCCAAATTCTCCGAGAAGTAAGTTGATCGTATGTTTATTTTGGAGCTTCTACACTGGAATTCGCAGGAAGAAGCAACCCAAACCGGTTGGATTTCGAGTCCGTTCTCGAAGATTACATCGACAATGGTGTGTTGCCTGATGGAATTAGGGTTGCAGAACGTGGGCTTGATGCTCCGGTTTTCTGTCTCGAGAATCACCCGGCGGGTAAGTGGAATTTCCTGACTTTTGTCTGGAATTACCAGTTCCTAGTTCTGTATGATAGATTATGAGCCATGAGATCAGCGTAGCTTTTGTTGGGTTTCAAGTTTTGAAGCTAAAGTTGAGAACTTTGATTCGACTTCGAGGTTCCAAGCTTGATGAAAGCTGATTCCTCCATGGAAAAAATTGATTTTGCTGTTGGCCTGATCATTGTGGTTTCTACATTGGAAATCTAGTTTAGATATGGAACTCACGATGCCAAAACAAATACAGGCTTTTACTTCATGCTTTTGGGAATTAGGGTTTTTCATGCGTTTGCTGATTTGAATGTGTAAGGAGAGGGGTGAGAGAGAAGCTCACGATAATCAACTTCTTGGGGTTGTATTTGGTTTTCTGGAAATCAATACAACATATCGGTTCTTGTTCTTGTTCTTGTTCTTCTGGGTTTTCTGTTACTGAAACCTTATCAAGGTTCCTCATGATAGTCACGATCCTGCATCCGGCTATGGAGAATCCGACAACTGGAAGCTCTGTGATGAAGATACTGCCAAAGCAAAAGGAAAAACACGCAGAACAGTTTCTGCTTCGGTTCTTTTACGGAAGCTACGGAGGAATACTCTTGGTCTGCAGTTCGTCTGGTCCAAGGTCATTTGAATATCTTGATTTGGGTCGGGTTTCTGCTTTCCTCTCTGCCCAGATGCAGACTAACAGGGATTGAGCCCGGAGTCTTGCTCAAGGTCGAATGAATTATTGTCCTTTTTGTGTTTTTTCCCCTCGTGCTCGTGTTGGTGGAACTGTGATATTTCTCTCCCTCATAACAAGATCCCTGTTTCGCTCTGCCGACTCGTGAAGAGACTGACTGGCTGCCATTGCAATGCCTGTCGGGGAGAAATTTCGTCCAGAGGCCGCAATTGTCAACTATTTCGGTTCAGGTCGTTCTCTGCAAACCCAAAATCAAAAGATCCGTCTTTTTCTTTCTTTCTTTTATCCTCTGCCCATTTGATATGCATAATTTGTGAACTCGCAACCGTTAAAACAACCTCCAGGCGATACCCTTGGTGGCCGGCCACATTGATGACATGGAAAGAGATCGGAGTAAACCCATAGCATGCACGAGGTATATTTTCTTTACCTTCTGTTATTTCTTTTTAACTTTTCACCCTATACTTTGAACTTGTGAATTAACGCAATGATTCATCACTGCAGCTTGGGACATATACATATATATATATATATGGTCTGATTTGGATGAGAAATTTAAAGGGCTATTTCCATTGACATTGATCTTTACTTGCAGGAGTACCTCGGACCCTTAATTGGCATCTGGTGATTTTTTGCGTTTTGGAAACGCCCGGCGATTAGAATCGCGGGCTTCGTTTCGGAGACGTGGAGCTGTCGAAACGCAGTGAAACAGAGGATGAAATTTTGGTAAGGAGAGTAAGAAACAAAAGAGGAAAATGCAGAAGAAAATCGTCATTTTTATTAATCTTTTGTTGTTTTTGCTTTTATTTGTTGGGTTATAAAAATGAAAATGGGGAATAAGGACATTGGAAAACCATATCACCTTTCTTATTACCAGTTGGGAACATATAAAAAACATTACAGGGAAATGCAATATAGGGTGTATACACGTATGTATATAACCCTAAAATTTCAATGCCTTGTTAGGCAAGGTAGGTATACTCTGCTCGTTCCTGAAGAAGTTCTGAGGATCCACGGCCGTTTTCACCTTCACCAACCGATCGAAGTTCTCTGCGAAATACTTTCTCCCGTAAACCTCTCCCTGTTTGTAACTATCTCTTCCATGATCATTAATCCCGATATCGAGATCTCTGTAATTCAGATACGACAATCTAGGGTTCTTGCTCACGAATGGAGCCATGAAACCGTAGAAGGTCCTCGACTTGTTCAAGAAGTCGTTCTCGGCCACGGTCCCTGCATCTTTCCAGTTCATCGAGTGTTGGATCTTGAAAAGCTTCTTCCGGTGCGGGAATGGCGTTTCGGTGGTCGGGACCTCGCTCATCTTCCCTCCGTACGGATTGAACACTAACCCTACTTTCCCCACTTCCACCATCTTCTTGAACAAGTAGTCCAAACCCTCTTTCGGGATCTCTGTCTCCACGTAATCCGATTTCCTCTTCCCGAAACTGGCTGTATCGGGCTCCCGTTCGAGCAAGATCTCGGGATTGATGGTGGCCGCGTCCTCGTGGTTATCCCACCAGACTGCGGACTGTATCCAGCTGAGTTCCGTACAGTTCTCGGCCTTCAGACCAAGCTCCGGAAAGTCTTTAGCCAACAGAGATACGACGTCCTTTGCTCTGCCGAGGTACAACGCCATTACCGTTGCCTTCACCGTTTGAGCCTTGTTCTTCGTCACTGTCTGTAATAACAGCCTCATCCAGAGATTCGGGTCCGTCTTCGGAGCCACGGACTGCCATTTATGGACCAGATCGAGAGCGTTTTCGTCCAGATACCTCGGGATCCTGAAGACGGTGACGATTTCAGGAACCGGCACGAGATTCACCTTGAAGGCGACGATCACGCCGAAGCTTCCTCCTCCGCCGCCGCGAATCGCCCAGAACAGATCCTCGCCCATGGATTTCCTATCTAGAATCCGGCCGTTGACATCGACGATTTTGGCGTCGGTGACGTAATCGACGGAGAGACCGTGCTTCCTGACCATGTTGCCATACCCAGCGCCGGAGATGTGTCCTCCGGCTCCGACGGTGGGGCAAATTCCCGCGGGAAACCCATGGACCTTGCTCTTCTCCCAGATCCGATAATAGAGCTCGCCGAGCGTGGCTCCGGCCTCGATCCAGGCTGATGCGGCACCACCGGGACCCGCCGCGTCGACGGTGATTGTGCGGAGGTTGGAGAGGTCGAGGACGAAGAAGGGCACAGCGGAGACGTAGGAGATGCCCTCGTAGTCGTGACCGCCGCTTCGGATCTTGAGCTGGAAGTTCAGTGATTTGGTGCAGACGACCGCGGCCTGAACGTGCGTTTCGGAACGCGCCGCGATTATGATCGCGGGCTTGGGGGTCGCGGAGGTGTTGAAACGCGCGTTTCGGATGTAAGCGCGCAGGACGGGCGTGAACGCGGCGTTTGACTGAGGTAAAACGACGTCGGATAGCTTGTCTGGTGATGTCTTTGTCTGTTTGGCGAAACAATCGAGAAAATTTTGGTAGACTGTTGTGTCTGATGCAGCGAGAGAATGAGAAACGAAGACTAAGAGGAAAATTAAAGAGAAAATCTTCATATTATTTTTTTTTATTTTTTTTTTGTGTTTTGTTTCTGTCTGAATATTTTGTTGCCTATGGGACATATAAATAGATATTTGTTATGGGTGGAAAAAGGGGAAAATAGATTGAACGTGGAAAATTTGTTGAAATGGTCAACTATTTTTTAGTATTAATTGTTTTGAGCAACTTGATTTTATTTTCAATTATAGAAAATTAGTTACTGTTTGAGTAGATGAGATTCTAAGAATAATAATTATCCCAAATTGAGTTTGATTTCTTTACAAAAGTCAACAAATGAGCAGATATATATCCCATGAATTTAGGCACCAAAACTAATAGATCATATAAATTCAAGGATGCAAAATTAAGTATAAAAGGAAAAATATCATATATAAGAATAATCAAAATCTAATAGGAATAAAGAAATGCTCCTATATCTAAAGTACAAATTCAGGCACCAAACTGGTTTATTATTTAAAATGAGACAGCAAATTTTAAACTAAAATAGAAAATATCATACATATATATATAATGTCAATTATCAAAATCTAGAAATAAATAAATTTTTTCCAATACTTAAATAATTGTAATCAAAATCTAATAGAAATAAATAAATAAATTCAGACATCAAACTAATTTACTATTTAAAGTCAGGCGAAAAATTTAAAACTAAAATAGAAAATATCATATATTATTTTTTAATTTATAAAATAATCATATTTATATTATCATATCTATATCGAAAGAGTTGTTATCTAATTTATTATTTAAACTAAGACAGAAATTTTAAAACTAAAATAGAAATATCATATATTATTTTTAATTTATAAAATAATCATATTTAATTATTATATTCATATAGAAAGAGTTGTCTAATATTTATTATTTAAAATAAGGTAAAAATTTAAAAGTAAAATAGAAAATATCATATATATACATACACACGATCAATTATTAAAATTTAGAAATAAATAAATTTTTTCCAATACTTAGATAATTGTAATAAAAAATCTAATAGAAATAAATAAATAAATTTAGGCATCAACCTAATTTACTATTTAAAGTAAAACGGAAAATTTAAAACTAAAATAGAAAATATCATATATTATTCTTAATTTATGAAATAATAATATTTATATTATTATATCCATATAGAAAGAATTGTTATCTAATTTATTTTTTAAAGTAAGACGGTAAATTTAAACTAAAATAGAAAATATCATATATATATATATATATATATATATCAATTATCAAAATCTAGAAATAAATAACATTTTTCCAATACTTAAATAATTATAATCAAAATCTAATAGAAATAAATAAATAAATTCAGACATCAAATTAATTTATTATTTAAAGTAAGACGGAAATTCAAAACTAAAATAGAAAATATCATATATTATTTTTAATTTATAAAATAATCATATTTATATTATTATATCCATATCGACAGAATTGTTGTCTAATTTATTATTTAAAGTAAAGTAGCAAATTTAAAATTAAAATAGGAAATATCATATATATATACACACATCAATTATTAAAATCTAGAAATAAATAATTTTTTTTCCAATATTTAAATAATTGTAATCAAAATCTAATAGAAATAAATAAATAAATTCACGTATTATTATTTAAAGTAAAACAGAAAATTCAAAACTAAAATAGAAAATATCATACATATAAATAGGTAAAAAAAATTAAATATTTAAATAATTATAAGAGATTAACTAATTAATAATTATAAGAGATTAACATAAAATCCAAAAACTTCAAATGTGGAGAGTGGGATTTGAACCCACGCCCTTTCGGACCAACTCGGCCATCTCCACTTTGAACCCTTAATGATTAAATTTTTCACGATTTAACACCCAATTAGCAACCGAACATTCCTCTTTGTTCCAAGTAAAAGCTTCTTGTAACCAATGTGTTTGGAAATTTTATCATACATCCATTTATTTATTTTATTAATAATCTGGTGAAATAACGAATGTTTACAATTATATTTGTAAAAAATATTGGTCCCGAATCAGTGATATATACACACATTAATACATTTATTATATATATATATATACACACATGCGCTTAAAGCATATCTCCTTAACGTGGATTTGCTTTATATTGGCAATGAAATGAACATTTACTTAACATTAATAAAAACAAAAAAGACTCTGAATTGGCCTCAATCTCATAACACATTCACAACCTGAGAAAAGCTCAATTTGAAAATGATTTTATTGATAATTGTTGCACGTGCTTCTTTTTGGAGTACTTTAGTCTTTACGGCTAAACAAACACGTACGAAATTGGATCCAGTCGCAACCGACATGCTAACGATTAAAGCCTGAAAACTACACACTTTGACTTGGCTCGTGACGACGACTCTGATTCTCGTTCTCGGGATCGACTCCCAACGACCATATTGTTCTTGGCTCAAATTATTTTGCTTAATTTCATCATGTCTCGGAAAGAAAAAGTGTTCGATCTAGGGTTACAACCGAAAAACACCGCCGGCTGTTGTCGGCGGCACTGGAGTTACGCATGCACACACGGTGAAAAAGATCTCTCTGCCGCAAGAGAAAAAGAAGAAAACCCGAGACCTCCCAACTTCACAGGCTCTACTCGATGAAACCCGAGACCTCTCAGCTCACACCATCTCTTGAGCATCCTACCCGAGAAAGTTCCACATAGATATGGAGACCTCACTTCCTGATTTACCATCGAAATCGAAGAGTCATCGGAGCATACCAGAAGTATCTCCGAGTCAAACTCATACTGGTTTACACCACCGAGGTCATCATTCCTTCTGCCTCAGACTCTCCCTTTTTCGTCATCCGAGATCTATAATTCCTTCTTGTAGAATTAGCTACCCGCGGAACAAATTGTTAGTATTTGTGGCTCAAATTATGTTTAGAAGACTTTGCATGTACTTTATATTATATGGTTTATGTGTATTAGTTGGTTTTATGTTACGTATTGCAGTTTTATGGAAGTTTTAAATGTAGTTTAATGTTTTAGTGGGTGAGTAACTGTTTGCACAGTTACATTTCGTGTCTTATATGTATATGTACATTATGTTGCAGAAAATTTACAGAGAGTTGCAGTTTGTTTATTATTGTTCTCTTTGTCTTTTATGTGTGAGTATTTTTGTGTATTCAAAGGAAAGAGTGAGGTCTTAGGCTTAGTCTTTAAGAGGAATTCACAATAATCAACAGTGGTATCAGAGCGGTTTTGATCTTTCGGGATCTGTGAGTGTTTTTTTGAAAAAGTGAAAACGAAATGGATCAAAATGTTGGTGTCAGTGTAACTCTCCCCGTTCCGGTGTTTGATGGTGAGAATTACCAAGTCTGGGTTGTGAAGATGAAAGCGTTTTTGAAGGGTTCAGATCTGTGGGAAGCCGTAGAAGAGGACTATGAAGTTACTCCGTTGGGTGCTAATCCTACAGCGAATCAAATAAAGTTGTACAAGGAGAGAATGGCGAGTAAAGCAAAGGCCATGTCTTGCATCTTCTCGGCAGTGTCACCGTCGATCTTCACGAAGATCATGGGGTTGGAGTCTGCCAAAGAGATGTGGGATTTCTTGAAGAAGGAGTATGAAGGGGACGAAAAAATCAACGGAATGAAAGTCATGAATTTGTTGCGAGAGTTCGAGCGACAACAAATGAAGGGAAGCGAGTCAGTAAAAGATTATGTCGATCGTCTTGTCGATATAATCAACAAGGTAAGAATTCTTGGCACTAAAGTTGAAGATGTTAAGATTGTGCAGAAAATTCTGGTTTCTATACCGGAAAAGTTTGAAGCAACGGTTGCATCTTTGGAAAACACTAAAGATATGTCAAAAATCAAGCTCTCAGAGGTTCTTAGTGCCCTTCAAGCGCAAGAACAAAGAAGGCTTATGAGAAAGGAGGATTCGGTGGAAGGTGCTTTAATAGCAAAAGCAAGAATAAATTATGCACGAAATGAAAAATTTGGTGAGCAATCCATTGAACCGTGCAAACATTGTGGTAAGGAAGGTCATCCATATTGGAGATGTTGGAAAAGACCCGATGTTAAATGCAGGAAATGCGGTAAAATGGGACATGTTGAGAAGATTTGCAAAGAAAAGAACACAGAGAATGTTGAAGTTGAAGCAAATATGGTTGAAGAAAAGGAAGAGGAACAACTCTTTTGATTGATCTATTGATTGGTGTTTCTGAAGGATTTTGAGCCAAGGAGGAGTTTGTTAGTATTTGTGGCTCAAATTATGTTTAGAAGACTTTGCATGTACTTTATATTATATGGTTTATGTGTATTAGTTGGTTTTATGTTACGTATTGCAGTTTTATGGAAGTTTTAAATGTAGTTTAATGTTTTAGTGGGTGAGTAACTGTTTGCACAGTTACATTTCGTGTCTTATATGTATATGTACATTATGTTGCAGAAAATTTACAGAGAGTTGCAGTTTGTTTATTATTGTTCTCTTTGTCTTTTATGTGTGAGTATTTTTGTGTATTCAAAGGAAAGAGTGAGGTGTTAGGCTTACTCTTTAAGAGGAATTCACAATAATCAACACAAATCACTCCACTGGTCATTGTCCTTCTCCTGCAACTCGATTTTTCGTGTTTACCCTTGACCACTAGTCGTTCCACCATACCCCTTTTCAGGGTATTCTGAGTTAGAAAATCTAACTCCATCATTCTAACCGCTACCATTTACCACCTCTACCGACACCTAAGGTTCGGATTTACACTCGAGACACAAGGCACATCCTTCTTGAAAGGATTATTTTATGTGTAGTGTTCTAGTTTCCTCTAGATTCTGAAGGTTGACTTCCTCAGAATATAATCCACTAGACACAACACCATGAGGTTCCTAGCACATGACTCTTTGTTTGTCTCTATTTGAGACCCGAAGCACCTGATACCTTTATCTCTAGTCTTATTGATCAAGTGAAAAGATCGTACGACCTCCCTTAACCTCAGTTTCCTAAGATGGAGTATATTCGCTCACCTCAACATTCTTCTCTCAAGGGATTATTTATCTCTTACCATGTCTACTGACTAAGGACTAAGTGGTAACACTAAACGTATCCTAGGATGATATAAACTGAGTCTA